TATATATATATGGAGGATATCCATCCATCCATCCATTATCTTTACCCGCTTCTTCCTTTTCGCGTTGCGTGGGTCACTGGTGCCCATATCCAGCCATCACTGTGTCCGAGGCGGGTCTCCTGCACAGGTCTCCAGACCATCACAGGGCCACATATAGACAAACGAGACAACCATTCACTCTCTCACTCACACCTAGGGACAATTTAGAGTTACCAATGAGCCTAACTTGCATGCTTTTGTGTCTGTGGGAGGAAACCAGAGTTCCCAGCGAAAACCCACGAATGGAAAGAACATGTAGACTCCACCCAGAATGGCCCCTGGTCTGGGATTTGAACTCGGTTAACCTTCTCGCTGAGAGATAGCAGCTCTACCACTTGCTCCACCGTGCTGCCCTATATGGAGGATATTATATGTAAAATATGAATTGCAGGCACCTTGATAACTTGCAGGTGAGTGAGCTGCCTGACGGTGTAGTCTGGCAGGTAGGCGTTCCCCACTCCGTTCAGCTGGCCCATGCTCCCACCGTACAGCATAGACTCTGAGCGGTCCAAACCACTGCTGCGAGATGGAGACCTGTGGACTGAAGGAGAAATTTTTGATCAACTCATCCCCATTGGCATAAAAACTTCCATCCATCCATCCATCCATTATCTTTTACCCGCTTCGTCCATTTTGGGTCAAGGGGGTCAATGGTGCCCATGTCCAGTAATCACTGTGCGAGGGGTGGGGTACACCCTGGACAGGTCTCCAGTCCATCACAGGGACACATAGAGACAAACAACCATTCACTCTCTTACTCACACCTAGAGACATTTTAGAGTTACCAATCAGCCTAACATGCATGTTTTTGGTCTGTGGATGAAAACTGGAGTACACAGAGAAAACCCACACATGCACAGAGAGAACATGCAAACTCCACCCAGAAAGGCCCCTCCCTGGACCAGGGTTTGAACTAGCAACCTTCTCACTGAGAGGCAGCAGCTCTACCAGTTGCGCCACCGTGCTGCCTGGAATAAAAACTTGCTTTTCCTAATCAAACCCTGTATCACCTCAGAAAGACCATTTTATTTAATCCTACTTTAAACACTGGGACCTGGAATTTTTCAGTGTTGAAACGAGTCAAGTAGAAATTAAATGCCATAATTCAACTGTTTTAAACTGTTTAAAAAAGTTAAATCTGGTCCTCTGGACCAAGGGCGTCAGAAGCATCTGTAATGTGGGGGGGGGGGGGGGGGGGGACAAAATGATGGGTGTAGGTGTGTGTGTGTGCGTGTGCATGTGCGCGCGCAATGAAGTGTATACTGATGTACAAAAAAAAAACAAAAAAAAACAGCATTTCACCTAGATTTACTTTAATTCCACACATTTAAAACATGTTTCTCACCAAGTTTGTGTAAATTCAGCTGTGGGTTTAAAGACATTTTAACTTTAATACACTTTAACACAGAGCGTCAGATCGGCACTATTTGTGTTTATGGAGAAATAAAAAACATCACGACTGAACTTTTTTACTTGTGTTCAACACTGCTCATCTAAATGATGTTTCTCATGAAGCTTGAGGACAATAAGGTGTGGGGGTTTAAACACATTTCAACTTTAATGCACCTGAACACACAGCGTCTCTTACACCTGCAGCGTCTGACAGCATCACAGTTACTGCTAAGCTAAGAAGCTACAGACGTAGCGCTCCTCTCAAGCATCCTCCTAACATGAATATATGTTGATGATCAACCCCCCCTCCCCCAGTCAACAACTGCCCGCACTAAGCTTGCTAAACTGTCGAGCGAGTGTAGTATGACAATATATGAGATATATATTGATACAATATTCACGAGTTCCTCATCTTTCTGACTGTGTAATGTCGTGCATTGAATTTAACAGAAATGTAACGAGAGACGTTATTTACCTTTGACCCATCAAAATGAATGCGGTCATTTATTTTCAGAATCAAAGTTTAACATCAAACATTTACATTAATTTGGCAAAATATGAAAATAATAACAGACAAGTTTCACAGAAAATGAGCATTGATCACTCGGCGGTGAACGAGGACTTTGCTTCAGATATTTCTAAAATATCTGTACTGATTTTATGAGAAAGAGGAGAGTTTTAAGATGAAATGGAGTTATCTTACAGAGAGATATGTGAGGGAATTAATCTGTTGACCAGAAGTTGCACGCTCCATGAGATCTCAGCTTGCCTCCGGTACACTTTAGTCGAAGAGGAGACCGTTACCTGATTGACGTAGGTCAGCTCGATAGAGAATCCTCCAGACTTTTTCCAGCGTCTCCGTTGAGGACTACCAAACCCTCAGAGAGTCGTACGTGGTTTTCAAACAGAAATTATAATCCCAAAACGTCTCTGGATCATCTTGAATGCGTTTGCACCCAAGAATTCAGACTCCTTTCCATTCTTCAGAACTCCTCAGCCTCTGGAACTATCAGACTCCAGACTCTCCTGAATTCTCGAATTCTCTTCCATTCTAACATGAACTGGGGAAGTTGCCACATTTTAAATGGGTCGACTTCCGGTTCAATTTAGAGCTTTCTGATTCGTGGATGTACCAGAAATAGAGGTGTGGTTTGTGATGTAAGATGTTATCATAAGTCAAGGATTGTTTTCAACATACAGAAAAGATTATTGCAGACGACCAGACTTCGTGGAGTCTCACGCTGTTGTATCTTCTCAAATAGTAAAACATGACATTTCTTCTCAGTAAACATTTTAGTTGACCAAGACTCGACCTTTCACATACTTACAAAACTTAGCTCATTTCAGACAGAAAATCAAGAAATGCATATTAACCTGATTTCTTCTTGAATGAGGAATAAAAATCATTACTTACTGTTTATGTAAAATAAAAATGAGTAGTTCTTTCCAACCTGTAAGCATTGAATGGAACTAACACAATTTGATTATTAAACATTTGTAATACAGTAATGATTATAGAGAATTGTCTTTTCTGCTTGAATAATTCAAGAAAGAAAGTCACCAGATGGCTCAGACTGTATTCAGATCAATGAAAATAACAGTCTCTGTCCATCTGATAGATTTGAGGTCATCAGGGTCAGATCAGGGTCAGATCAGGTTCACTACACGAGCAACACAGAGGTGTCTCCATCTCCTCCACCTGTGCGCGTTTTCTGCCGAAGCAGGAGACTCAGCAGCTGCTGCCTGCACAGTTTCTGCTCTGTGTTAGATTTGGAGGTAACCTGTAGGTAACCAGGAAAACCTGGAGTGAAGTTTCAGTGGTTTGAGTATTCTCCTATTAATCAAGTGGAATGGATTTGGTCACGAAAAAAGAGAAACTGCGCCGCCTGAACTAATGTTTCATAGTAATGGGGGGGGGGGGGGGGTCCAAATGAACGGTTTTTAATGTGGAGGGGGACTTGTCCCCTTCACATATAATGGTTGCGACGCCTATGCTCTGGCCATTCAAAAAACAAAACAAAGCAAAACAACAACAAAAAAAAAATGTAGAAACATTTCGTCTTTCATCTGAAAGACTTCCTCAGTCTGAAGTGCTGTATTCAGCTCAGTCTTAGAAATAGCACCTTCTCAGAATGGATCAACCAGTTTTGCTGCTGACAGCCAAAACCTGGCTGTTCCCAGCTGGGCTCCATGGGTAAAAGCCCGTCCACCAGGCGCTCGCCAGCGTACCCCACCTCCAGGCCCAGCTCCAGAGTGGGGCCCCGGTGGCCCACTTCTGGGCCAGGGAACGCTGTTTCCATCCATCTTTTTCATCATAAGGGGTCTCTGGGCTGCACTTTGTCTGGTCTCTCACCTAGGAACTGTCTACCTTGGGTGACCCTAATAGGGGCATGAAGCCCCTGACAGCAAAGCTCCTAGGATCATTGGGTCACTCAAACCCCTCCACCACGGTAAGGTGGCAGCCCAGGGAGGGGAGACACACCTTTACTATAAATAAAGTCAAGCAAACAAATAATTGTTTTTAAGTGGTTTTCTTCTTAAATTTCAAAGAAACACACAGCAATTCGTCCCTCTGCGTGCTCCCACTTCCATGAATCAGCTTTTGAAATGCAGCTGATTTGACCGTCAACGTGCATTTATTATTTATTTATTATTGCATTTATTGTATCTGTGACCCTCCTTCCCTCCATTGATTACGGTGACATTATTTACATGAACGCTCCTACAAGATCCCCTCAGATGTTGGATGCTGTCTCTCATGGTGCACTAAGATTCATAACTGGCTGTGATTATCGTACCCACCACTGCACCCTGTATTCATTAGTTAACTGGACATCATTATTTTTCATTCATTCAACCTTTATTTAGACAGGTAATCCCATTGAGCCTCCTTAACTTCACGCAGACTCTCCCACTGGTACATTTTCATCTTTAAATCACTTCTTGGTCTGCTGCCTTCACACATCTCCTTCTACATGTCTCTACGTGAGTGCAACTACGGCGTGCGCTCTCAGGACATTATTACCTGCAGTGTTCCCTCAATGAGGACTGAACTAGGCAAGAGGGCCTTCTCCTACTCCGCTCCCGTTTCCTGGAATATCTTACAAAAACAATTGAAGCTCTCTTGTCCTTGACCTCTCTAAGTGGCTTTAAGAATCTGTTGGACTCCTGGCAGGGACCAATGCAGACATGTTCCTGTTCTATTTCATATAGGCTTTGCCCTTTAAGAGCTGTCGCTTAGTGGGTTTTATCCCGTCATGCGGAGCATTACACTGAAAAAATTTAGTCTACGCCCACCTGCTGTGTGGAACCCATCCGGTCCGTATAAATTACGTTAAGAGTGGGTAATCGGCTCCCCATTTTTCTTCAGCGAGCTAATAGCACTGTCAGAAGAATGAAGAAGGAAAGTTGTGTAGATGACCAACCTCTGTTAAGAATGCTTGGCCCATCACGTCGACCTCCGGTCACCCCGGTGAGCTCTTCTCCCCGAGGAGAAGCTGACGAGCAGTCTTGTTTCAAGGTAAGCGCCAAGGAGTATTTCTCAGTGACAGGTCGCTACACGCTGGACAACGCCATCTTGCAATTTTCCTCTTATCGCCGACCCTTGGAGCGAATCGGATGGTTCCTCCGAGACAGGCAACATCATCAGCAGCCCCGCTGCTCATTCCCTCCTGGAGAGCGTAGTGTCGGTGGAGGGGGGCTGAGCGAACGCTCACCTCATCCCACCTTGTTTCGCATTGGCGATCACACTGCTTCCAGTCGACAGCACCCTCTGGAGTTTGCCCAGCGTAACCCAGGAGGCGGCTGACATGAAGGGACCTTTTTTATGTCCCGCGCCTTCTCCGCCAGTTCGGATGACCCGGCGGGAAGGTTTTTCTGGGCTCCATCCCAGCTCGTCATCCTGATCCCATCTGGCCTCGGTTTCCCAGCGGTGACGTCCTTCTGGGACGAGGCTGCAGCCGTTACTGGTAGAATAGGGCGCCGGTTCCCACATCCGCACCCATCACCAGAGTGGAGGGGTTTTCACTGAGCGGAAATCCCCTCAGTGCCCCCTGGAGCCGAGCCTGACAGAGGCTTTTCTCGGAGCAAGATGTCCAAGTTGGACCAGCGTCCCACGCCTCCGGTTAGCATAATCCAGACGGTAACACC